CACTTTTTGTTTCAATTTTCTTTAAAATTATAAATTCACAATTGATTACAGACAAATTTTTAACAAAAATGATGTTCTGTTTCTTTGTTTACATTTTTATAGAGTTTTTATAGGCAACATCTTTTATATATGAGAACTGAAAAAATATTACACTGCCTTAACGCTTATTATATACGGCATTATCGAGTGCTGTTTTTATAAAGTAACCAGACACTGTTTTAACATAAGCATTGTCACTATTAATAGTGCTTAACCTTATAGGGTAAACAGAATGCTTAACAAAACAGAATTATTAGGGTGTCCATAATAATAATATTAAACACAAACTCTTTGATGAGATATGATATAATACAGAAAATTTATATTAACCGACTTCTATATGATAAATTGTAGCTTAATGAAGATCTGTTATCGCTTATAACAGCATCGATAACTTGACTTTACTATAGAAAAGTTATCGATAACATTTCTTTTCAACAGAAAATATATCTTAAATCTTACTTTTCTATATATAAAACTTATTGATAACTTTACTTTTCATCAAAAAACGTTTCGATTACTTGTTTATAGAAATGTTTTCCTTTTTTTAGAAAAGATATCGATAACGTCACTTTTCTATATAAAAATTGTATCAATAACATTGATTACTATATAAAAGTGGTTGATAACTTGCCTTTCCATAGAAAAGTTGTCGATGACTTTCTTTTATACCTTTTTTATAAATAAGTTATCGATAACTTTCTTATGGAAAAGTTACCGACAACTTTACTTTTCTGTAGTGAAGTTATCGATAACTTAACTTTGCTATAGAAAAGTTCTAAAGTTATAACTTTACATAATTTTCCTGCAGAAATGTCGATATCTTGACTTTTCTATAGTAAAGTTAATGATAACTTCATTTTTCTAAAACTTGATTTTTCTATAGTAAAGTTCAATTTTCTAAAAAAAAATCTATAGGAAAGTTATCGAAAACATAATTTTTAATCAGAGTTTAAATATTAGTAGATGCTTTTATATTTTTATTTTTGACTTTGCAATAAATATGCATTTACCTCATATTTAAAAATATGCATATTTAAAAAATGGTTCTGTTCAAAATATTTCTAGTATTTTTGCTAAAAATATTTACCCATACAAACTATTGCATATTACAGCTTACAGACAAATATAAAATGTTTTCACTTACAATATATTACGCAGCAACTCGCTAACATATTTATAATACCCACATATATTTCATATGGCTTGCCTATAATATTAAAATATTTTCCTACACAAATTATTCGCAGTCAACAATATTGAAGCCATGCGAGCAGTAATATACGAACATGAAATGTACGCAAGCAGAGCATATATGTGCCGACGAAAACACGAAACAAAACGATAGTCGCGACTATCAGGTTACAATATTTTTACTATCAAACTTAAATATTATTTACTATAGGAAATGACTTATGGTCTAAAATTTAACATTTCATGTTGAACTTGAAAAATTATAAAATGTGAAAAATGTATGCAAGATATAACCAAATTTTATTTAGAAAATAATTGAAAACGTTTATATCTATGTATGTTTTATGTATATTATGGGAAAAATGTATGCATGAAATAACCAAATTTTAATTAGAAAATTTTTGAATTGAATTATTGAATGTATGTATTTATTAAATTTATGTTTAATCCCAATAAACATAGATTCAAACCTGTGAATATTTTTGAAAATTTTCTTAACTAAATAATGTATTTTCCAAATTGTTTTCAAATTTTAAAGTTTAGCCTTTGAAATAAACATGATAATTTCAAAAAACGTTTAAAAAATATAATGTGTGATATTTATAAAATTTTCAAAGTTTGGTTTTAATTGAACTTAGAAAAGTTTCTTTCGAAAAATAAATTATTTTAGAAAAATAAAAACAGAACATTTTTTCTACAGCAAGGGAGCGAAAAAACGTTAAATATAGGAGAAATAATCGGAGATATAAAAGAAAAATATGAATGTTTTATTTTCAGGTGATGTAAAAAAATATATGAATTTTGCAATAGTTAGCATTATAATTAAGGTTTGAAATATGTATGAAAATAATAATAAAGAATACTTGAAATACGTTTGAAAATTTTTTTAGTTTCAAGCTTACCTCTAGCCTTTTTTTAAATTTGAAATACATTTGAAAAATACGTTTGATTTCTAACTGCCTTTTTGTTTGAGAAGGCCATAATTTTCCATTTGAAAACAAAAATTTTCAAATTTGTTCTCAAAGGCTATGTATGAAATTTGAATAGGTTTTCAAATACATATTTACATCATTTCAAAGGTTTTTGCTTATTGGGATTTTTATGTGGAGTATTAAAATGTATGTATTTGTATTGATTGTAATATAATTAGAAAAAAATTATATAAATACTTAGAGGATCATATGAATGTAAAAATATATTCAAATATGTATATATGTAAAAAATTGTTTTTACAGGCTATATTTAAACATATTGTTTGTAACAGGATGACAATAAGTTTGTAAACAGGTAGTAATGCATTAGTAGTGTCTATGAAATGATCAATAATGAAGGAAATAATAGGTATTTTAGAAATTTGTAACAGGATGGCAAAAAATTAAGAGGGGACATAAAAAGTTGTTTTTGTAATTTTACATTGTGAAAGGTTAAAACAACAAAAATGTATGAGTGTATTACATACATATACAAGTATGTTTTTCAGATGCATGTGTCACATTTCTATAAATTATTATTACATACACTCAATTATCTTACAATAATGAATGAACAGGCGCGAAGAAAAAAATATATAGGTGTTAATAAATTTGCATATGCCATTGCCAACCTTTTGAATTTGCATGAGAGAGACTAAATAATAATGATATTTCTTTCCTCTTCTCCCCACCACAAATTCAAGTAAAGAAAAAAAAGGATCTTGCGTAAACCATCGTTAAGGAATGTGCGTAAAATGATAAAGTAGGAAAGAGAATTTCTACTACAGGTCATTTTTATGACGAATGTATTTTTGCATCACACGTACATATCTTCTTCCCTCCAACAATTCAGGGAAAAAATGACCTATCGTAATCCACCGTTATGGAATGTGCGTGAAAAGTAGGAAAGAAAAGTGCTGTTACAGGTCATTTTTATGACGAATGTGTTTTTTGTTATTGTTTCACACATACTTACATACATACATATGTATATACAAAACCAGATATAAATGGTGTTGCATATTTGAATATATTTTTACATTCATATGATCCTCTAAGTATTTATATAATTTTTTTCTAATTATATTACAATCAATACAAATACATACATTTTAATACTCCACATAAAAATTAAACATAAATTTAATAAATACATACATTCAATAATTCAATTCAAAAATTTTCTAATTAAAATTTGGTTATTTTATGCATACATTTTTCCCATAATATACATAAAACATATGTACATAGATATAAACGTTTTCAATTATTTTCTAAATAAAATTTGGTTATATCTTGCATACATTTTTCACATTTTATAATTTTTCAAGTTCAACATGAAATGTTAAATTTTAGACCATAAGTCATTTCCTATAGTAAATAATATTTAAGTTTGATAGTAAAAATATTGTAACCTGATAGTCGCGACTATCGTTTTGTTTCGTGTTTTCGTCGGCACATATATGCTCTGCTTGCGTACATTTCATGTTCGTATATTACTGCTTGCATGGCTTCAATATTTTTGACTTCGAATAATTTGTGTAGGAAAATATTATGTGGGTATTATAAATATGTTAGCGAGTTGCTGCGTAATATATTGTATGTGAAAACATTTTATATTTGTCTGTAAGCTGTAATATGCAATAGTTTGTATGGGTAAATATTTTTAGCAAAAATACTAGAAATATTTCGAATGGGAGCAATTAAATATATTATATTCATAAAATATATTTATATTTTAATATTACATACGTATGCATAGGAGAAAATATGCATTTTGGTTACTAATATATTAGTAATTTTAATCACTGTTTTTAATAATAATTTTTCTATAGAAAAGTTATCGATAACTTTAATTTTGTATAAAAATGCATATAAGTAATTTATAGAAAGTTTTCGAAAACTTAACTTTTCTATAGAAAAGTTATCGATAACTTTATTTTTTATAAAAAAATGCATATAAGTAATTTTACTTTTCTGTATTTATTTACTTACAGTTTCTTCTGCTTAAATAATCCAAGTGTCAATGAATATTCTGTTGTTGTAGTCCACTTACTAGATGTGTTTAGACTGCACTAATTAATATCTTGTTAGCCCTTTAATAATAATTTCAATTCTATATGAAAAAAATCTAAAAATAACAGTTGTTTATATTTTTTTAATACAATTTTCTGTTGATCCAGTCATTACCGCTAAGCTAGGCCTATTTATGTATGTTGTTGTTGTTGCTGTGTTGTTAAACAAGATGAAATTATCATACGAACTCTGTGTGTAATTGTTAGTCCATTCACCCATAATTTTATTATTGTATTAAAATAAATGTAAACACAAGTACAAAGTTTGTTAATTTAGTTAGTGGAAAAAATTTATTAATTCCATCATTTGAAATAAAGATTTTTTGGTCTTTTACAGATTAAAAATAAATTCACTTTTTGTACTACTTTTCAAATAACATTTTAATTAAAACTGAATAATTCTTGTCAAAATTTATTATAGTTTTTATTGTTCACCCAGAAATTGACATTTTTTCTATGATCCCCTGCAAAGTTAACAAAAATTTTAATTTTTTTTTAAATTAGATCATTTCACAATAAAAAGCTTCAATACTACAACCAAAAAGTCTAAAAGGTTGTAGACTTGAATAAAATCCTTTCATAAAACCAAAACTCACAGCAAAAGTTATAACTTTTATTATCTGGCAACTCTCTATAACTTTTAAAATAATTTTCATAGCCACCAGCTTTGGTATATATTATGATACATTGCCAACTTTTTCCAACGCTGTTTTTGTTCTTTCAATCAGTTTGTTTTGACATTTAAGTGAATTTGCGATTTTTTTCTCCAAACGTCTATTAAAAAAGTAGCAATTGAATTTTTTGTAGCTTTTTTCGCAAATATTTTTTCGTTTATTTATTTAAATAAAAAAACATATAAACTGGAAAACTCTATAACTGCCTAAACACTTGTTGACAAGTGTTGTTTATAAATAATTATTTAAATTATTAGAAAAAACTTTGATAGTGCCCTTAAGATATAAAGAAGGAAAAGAAGAAAGCAATTTGGCTTGGTGAGAAAAAATAAAGAAAAAGTTGGTGCAATTTTGCAAACATGTCGCAACCTGCTAAAAATATTGTAAGTTTAAAATACATAATAGTAATTAAAATAGTATTTTGCAAATTATGTTTAAAATATATTAGAAAAAACCGGCTTTTTATATTATTTATTTAAATAAGTTTTCTTCCTCATAAGATGCATTGTGGTCTGCTGCATGCGCATTGCCGTCATGTAAAAAAAGGAAAACTATAGACAATTGTTATTTTGCCGGTTGTTTTTTTGTTGCTTTAATTCTGGACTCCCTCCCTGCTATTATAGGTTTTTGTCTGATTGGAAACATTATTCCTGGACACTAATTATTTTTCTTAGTAGTGTTGCTATTGTTTTTTAGATTTCTCTTTATAAGTTAATCATTCAATTCTCACTGCCCCTGTAATTGCCAATTCATAATTTTGACAAGTCATTGCCTTTGTTCATCGCGATAATAATGTGTTAAAACAACATAAGTAACATTTTTTAAAATTTTGTTACAATACTGCCACAAGGTGTATCCTTTTGTTTGCTAAAGATTGGCTTTATTATCTCATGGGGTAAAAAAGTGTTAGTTATATGATGTCAGTATGTCACCATGGATGTCTAATAACACGTACATGTTAATTTTTTTGTTTTTTTTTAAGATAATGTATATTTTAAAAGATTTCCCTATTACCTATGTATAACTATAAATTGTGTCTGCCACTTGAGTTAAAGAGCTCAAAGATACCTACTTAGGATATAATATTGCATTATTATTTTGGAAATGCTTTTAAGAATTTTTCTATTTAACATCAACGGAATTGGTCCATAAATAATAGAAAGTTTAGAGACAAATGCTCAAAATTCCGTAAGGTTCAGTTCCACTGGACATGGATATGATCTTCTGCGAGGACTACCTACTGTAACATGCGGGCCGCAATGTTGATGTGCTATGTGAACTTTTCCCATATGGACGAAGAAAGTAAAAATAACTTTTGATGTCCTAGTCGATGGAGCACGAATACCGATTGCGCAACAATCTATTTATTTATTTATTTTTTTTTACGCAATCACGGAGACACTGATAAAATAATCCTCATAAGGTATGGATTAAGAAACATTGTCGGCTACATATTAAACTATTGGCCAGTAAGTGGTTAATTATGCCATTCCAATTCTCTTAGTAATACCCAGTGGAGAAATATTTCAAGCTGCAAAGATCCAGCGCTTAACACTCACTGCATGCAAATTATCTCTGACCACTGTCTGCATGAGGAAATGCTCGTTCTCCAAGTTAAGGAACACAACGTCATGTTGACAAAACAGTTGTGCCCATGATGACAACGCAAGAGTCATTAAATATCACATAGTCAGGAAGGAGCTTCATGTGTACGAGGAAAATAGGATGTTCATAGACTAGACTATAGACTAAAATATAGACTAGACTATAGTCTAGACTATAGACTAGACTATAGACTAGACTATAAACTAGACTATAGACTATACTATAGAATAGACTATAGACTAGAATATAGACTCGACTATAGACTCGACTATAGACTAGACTATAGACTAGACTATAGACTCGACTATAGTCTCGATTATAGACTAGACTAGACTATAGACTAGACTATAGACTAGACTATAGACTAGACTATAGACTAGACTATAGACTAGACTATAGACTAGACTATAGACTAGACTATAGACTAGACTATAGACTAGACTATAGACTAGACTATAGACTAGACTATAGACTAGACTATAGACTAGACTATAGACTAGACTATAGACTAGACTAGAATAGACTAGACTAGACTATAGACTAGACTAGACTATAGACTAGACTATAGACTAGACTAGACTATAGACTAGACTATAGACTAGACTATAGACTAGACTATAGACTAGACTATAGACTGGACTATAGACTAGACTATAGACTAGACTATAGACTAGACTATAGACTAGACTATAGATTAGACTATAGACTAGACTATAGACTAGACTATAGACTAGACTATAGACTAGACTATAGACTAGACTATAGACTAGACTATAGACTAGACTATAGACTAGGCTATAGACTAGACTGTAGACTAGACTATAGACTAGATTAGACTATAGACTAGACTAGACTATAGACTAGACTATAGACTAGACTATAGACTCGACTATAGACTCGACTATAGACTAGACTATAGACTCGACTATAGACTCGACTATAGACTAGACTATAGACTAGACTATAGACTCGATTATAGACTCGATTATAGACTAGACTATAGACTAGACTATGTTTACGAGGAAAACAGGATGTTCATAGACTAGACTATAGACTAAAATATAGACTAGACTATAGTCTAGACTATAGACTAGACTATAGACTAGACTATAGACTATACTATAGAATAGACTATAGACTAGACTATAGACTCGACTATAGACTCGACTATAGACTAGACTATAGACTAGACTATAGACACGACTATAGACTCGATTATAGACTAGACTATAGACTAGACTATAGACTAGACTATAGACTAGACTGTAGACTAGACTATAGACTAGACTATAGACTAGACTATAGACTAGGCTATAGACTAGACTATAGACTAGACTATAGACTAGACTATAGACTAGACTATAGACTAGACTATAGACTAGACTATAGACTAGACTATAGACTAGACTATAGACTAGACTATAGACTAGACTATAGACTAGACTATAGACTAGACTATAGACTAGACTATAGACTAGACTATAGACTAGACTATAGACTAGACTATAGACTAGACTAGACTATAGACTAGACTATAGACTAGACTATAGACTAGGCTAGACTAGACTATAGACTGGACTATAAATAAGACTATAGACTAGACTATAGACTAGGCTATAGACTAGACTATAGACTAGGCTATAGACTAGACTAGACTATAAACTAGACTATAAATAATACTATAGACTAGACTATAGACTGGACTATATACTAGACTATAGATTAGACTATAGACTAGACTATAGATTAGACTACAGACTAGACTATAGATTAGACTATAGACTAGACTATACACTAGACTATAGATTACACTACAAACTACACTATACACTACACTATACACTTCACTATATATTAAACTGTAGACTAGATTATTGACTGGACTACTCTATAGACTTGAATAGACTACAGATTGGTCCATTGACTACTATATGAAATATTTAACCAAGGTTTATAAGTTAGAAAACGTACCGAAAATGTCATGTAGGTACCGCGGTATTTTTTGGAACCAAAAAGTGCTTAAGTACTGAATTTTCTTGTTTAGAGTAAGAAATCTCTCAATTTTGTTAAAAATCTCTTTAATTTTGTTTTGGTCACATCTTTCTACGCCAACAATTGTCCGTAAAATGAACATTTCAATCTTCTGTTATTTTTTATTTCTACTAAATAGCACATATTTTGAGAGTGTGTGTGTGTGTTTTTGTTAGAAAAGTCACTTTTAATTTTAAATATATAATTCCTTTTAAAAAAAGAAAACACTAGCAAATAATGCGCATTATTTTTTGCTCTCTTAACGGAAATGCTTTTTTGGGTTCCGATCAGTTTGTTGTGAAAATAGGAGGTGAATAGAAGTGTGGTGATTAAGCTGGGCCAAGAAGGCCATAAGGTAGCATATTCATGCTGCAAAAGTTTAAACAAACTTAAATAAAAAATCTACGAAAAAAATTATAAGAAATAATTGGCTTAAAAAACCAAATCCTGTTACTTTCGCAATGGCTACCGTGGAATTGGAAAATCTTTTCTATAGAAAACGTAATATAGTATATGCCTTTGTGCGCCATCGTTTTATGTTATTATGCAAACAATCGGTAAGGAAGGAGTAAATTATAAAATTAAAAAAAAATGCCGGCTGTTCAAAAATAAAAAAAGGGAAATAGTTTTTATAAGAGAAGAAATATTTTTTAAATTAATAATTTAAAATTATAAATATAAAGAATTCTTAATATGTATATATGTGTATTCATTTTATTCTCTGCAATGATCTTGAACTTGAAAGACATTTTTTTGGCATCATTGTTTTATCTATAATTGTGTAAAATTCGAAAAAGCAACGTCATTATTATTCTCTCCCCCACACGCTTTAACAAATTGTTTATAAACAATTAGTAGTAAAATAAAAATAAATGCAAAATATTTATTTTTAATTATATTTTTACTTAGTATTTTCTTTTATCAATTTTATTTCTAATTATTTTTATCTTTTTCCTTTATTTTTATTTTTTTGCAGTTAGTTCGTGTACAATCTGCTGAAGGCATAAAACGTATTGAAATTTCCCCAAAGGCGAATCTTAAAGAACTTTTTGAATCTGTTCAAAATGCTTTAAAAGTCGATGGCTTTGGTCTGTTTAAGGAGAGAAATTTTACGAAAGAGGTAAGTTTTTACTTAAAAAAATAAAATTTTTTATTTGCACGAGTGGAAAAAATAAACAAAAAATAAAAGAATTTAAACAATTTTAAAAGAAAAACTGTACCAAACTACTGATAGTGAATTTTTTTTTAAACTATGATCGACAAACGTAAACAAATATTTTCATTATCAAAGTTTTTATATTAAAAACAAAATAATTTTTTTTTATTAAAAAGCTTTTTTATACTAAAAATATTCCACAAACATTTGTTTTTTTCCACAAAATAATAAACACCAACAAACTTTCTATTAAAAGCTTTTATTCATTTAACATGTAAAAAAGCTTTTTTATTTAAACAATTCTTTTACTTAAACTTTTTTTAAGTTTTTTTTTTATTAAAGAGGTTACTTTTTTATTAATAAAGCTTTTTATTAAAGAAGTTTCATTGTAAAAGCTTTTTCATACTAAAAAGCGTTCGACTACAAAGAGACTTTTTCTATTAAAAACGGAAAAAAAGCTTATTTCCCTAAAAAGGTTTTGTTTTACTAAAAGTGTTTTAACTAAAAATCATTGAAAAAAGTTTTTTTCGCTAACAAAACTTTTTTCCATTAAATATTTAGAAAACTTTTTTCACTAAAAACCGAAAAATAAACTTTTTTCACTAACAAATATTTTTCACTAAAAAGTTTTTCCATTAAAAATTTAAAAAAGCCCTTTAATACAAGTTTTTTGAGTTAAAAGTTATTTTCATTAAAAAACAAAAAAAAAAAACTTTTTAAAAACCGTTTTTCACTAAAAAATCTTCTTTCACCAAAAAGAAACTTTTTTCATTAAAAAAAATCTTCTTTCACCAAAAAGAAACTTTTTTCATCAAAAAATATTTTTTCACTAACTAAAAAGTTTTTCCTCTAAAAATCAAAAAAAAAAAGTTTTTTTCACTTAAGCTTTTTTTATTAAAAACCGAAAAAAGCTTTTTTTGCAAAAAAAAAAAAAAAAAAAAAAAAAAAAAAAAAAAAAATACAATAAAAAAAAAAACAAACCAGATTCTCTTACTAAATATTGAAAAAGAGCTTTTCACCTTAAAGTTTTATTTAAAAAAGCTTTTTAATTAAAACAATTATTTTAGTAAAAAGTTTTTTTATTAAAAAGGTTGCTTTTCCATTAATAAGGCTTTCTACTAAACAAGTTTCAGTGTAAAAATTTTTTTACACTAAAAAGCTTTTGACTAAAAAAAGTGTACGCAAATTTTTAACAAAAATAATTTTTTTTATCAAAAATTGGTTTTTATTTACTAAAATACAATATTTTCCTTAATAAGCTTTCTTTACTAATAAAGCATTTTCTTAAAAAAAGGCTTTCTTTACTGGAAAAAAAGCTTTTTTTTTAAAAAAGCTTTCTTTACTTGTTTCTTTAAAAAAGCTGTCTTTACTAAAAAAGCTCATTTCTTTAAAAACCTTTCTTTACTAAAAGGGGTTTTCTTAAAAAACTTTTTTTAAAATAAAAAAGTTTTTCTAAATGTTTTATTACACTAAAAAGCTTTTGAATAAAAAAAGTGTTCGCTAATTTTTCACAAAAATTATTTAAATTTTTTTTATTTACTAAAATACAATATTTTCTTTAATAAGCTTCCTTTACTAATAAAGGATTTTCTTTAAAAAAGCTTTCTTTAATAAAAAAAAAATATTTAAAAATGCTTTTTTTTACTAAAAACATTTTTCTTTAAAAAGCTGCCTTCACTAAAAAAGCTTAATTCTTTAAAAAGCTATCTTTACTAAAAGGTTTTTTTCTTAAATTTTTTTAAATAAAAAATATTTTTTAAAACAATTCTTTTCCTAAAAAGTTTTTTTAAGTTTATTTTTCATTAAAAGGGTTCCTTCCATTTATAAAGCTTTCTAATAAAGTAGTTTCAGTATAAACGCTTTTTCACGCTAAAAAGCTTTTGATTAAAAAAAAATGTACGCTAATTTTTCACAAAAAATATTTTTTATCAAAAATTTGTTTTTATTTACTAAATACAATATGTATTTTCTTTAATAAGCTTTCTTTACTTATAAAGCATTTTCTTTAAAAAAGCTTTTTTTACTAAAAAAAACTTTTATTTAAAAAAAACTTTCTTTACTTTAGAAAAGTTTTTTTTTTCTTTAAAAAAGCTGTCTTTACTAAAAAGCTTATTTCTTTAAAAAGCTTTCTTTATTAAAAGGCTTTTTTCTTAAAAAAGATTTTTTTAAATATGTTTCCTTTAAAAAAAGCTTTCTTTACTAAAAAAAGCTTTTTTCTTAAAAAAACTTTCTTTACTAAAAAAAGTTGTTCTTTAAAAAACCTTTTACTTTGAGAAGACAAAATTTTCTTAAAAAAGCTTTTTTAAAAAAAAAAAGATTTAAAAAAAGCTTTTTCTTTAAAAAAGCTTTTCTCTTGAAAAAAGCTCTTTTTACTAACGAAAACGTTTTACTTTTTAAAAAAGCTTTCTTTAATAACAAAAACGTTCTAAAAAGCTTTCTTTACTAAAAAAAGTTTTTCTTTAAAAAAAGCTTTATTTCCTAAATAAACGTTTTACTGTACATTTCAGCTTTCTTTGAGAAGACAGCATTTTCTTAAAAAAAACTTTCTTTAGTAAAAATGATTTTTTTAAAAAAACACTTTCCTAAAAAACTTTTTTCTTATAAAAATTGAAAATATTATTCACTACAATTATGTTTGCCAAAATTATAATATTTTCTTTAAAAAGCTTTTTTACTAAAAAAATTTTATCTTTAAAGAAACCTTTTTTCTTAAAAAAAAACATTCTTTACTAAAAAAAACTTTTTTCTTTAAAGCTGTTTTCTTTAAAAAAAAGCTTTATTTATTAAAAAATTGTTTTACTGTGCATTTTAGTTGTCTTTGGGAATAGAGCATTTTCTTAAAAAAACATTTTTTTTCTTAAATTATTTTTCAATAAAATTATGTTTTTCTTGCAATTACACTCTTTTGTGTATAAAGCTTTTTCACCAAAATTTCAATATGTTATTTCTCTTTTATGTGATTTATGCCTTTTCCAATAATCCAGCTTTACGCCAATTCAACACAACAAATAGGCACTCTACTCAAACATGGCGATATGATATATCTTAAGCAGTTGGCTGGCACATCAGCAAGAGTAAGTATTCTCAATTATATTTATCAAATTTCTTTAAACAACTAAAAACAAATTTTAAACTATTCCTAGCGCACTAGTACCACGGCGATAGATCAATTTGAACATGTTCCAGCCAAAGTAACTGATAATGATTTTAAACCAACCACAAAAGTTGTTGAAGATGAGGTTGATCTATTATTGGCAAAAGAAGATGGATTAATTAAAAGGGAAAGAGATAGTAAATTGTAAGTTAAAAGTAAAAAAAAAAAATAAAATTTAATGTTAACAAACGAAAACTTCTAGATGTCGTCATCAAGCCAACGGTTGTTGTGTCAACTGTTCACCTCTTGAACCTTACAATGAGACGTATCTGAAGGAGCAAAAAATTAAACATCTTTCATTTCATTCGTATATACGCAAACAAACATCGGGCATTGATCGCGGCAAGTACATGGTATTCGATGATATTAATTGTCGCATTAAGACTGGTTGCCGTGAACATCCACCATGGCCCAAGGGCATCTGTTCCAAGTGTCAACCATCGGCTATAACATTAAATCGTCAAATTTATCGTCATGTCGATAATGTCATGTTTGAAAATACCACAATTGTAGAGAGATTTTTAAATTATTGGCGTACTACGGGCCATCAAAGAATGGGTTTCCTCTATGGCACTTATGAAGTGAATACAGATGTACCCTTGGGTATACGTGCTAAGGTGGCGGCAATTTATGAACCTCCACAGGAATCGACTAGGGACTCGATAAAACTATTGGATGATGAGGCTGCCGAAGATATTGAAGAGGTGGCCAAGGCTTTGGGTTTGAGAAAGGTGAGGGGTGAGAGTTTTATTCGTTAGAGTATTTTTATTAAATTTGCTGTTTCTTTTTTAGATTGGTTGGATTTTTACTGATTTAATCACTGATGATCCGGCCGCCGGTACTGTTAAACAGTTACGCGGCATTGAGACTCATTTCTTAACCGCTCAGGAATGCATAATGGCAGGTGAATTGCAAAATCGTCATCCAAATCCTTGCAAATATGCATCGAATGGTGTTTTTGGTTCGAAATTTGTGACCGTTTGTGTTACAGGTAGGTTATTTTTTTAGAAGATTTCATTTAGAGAATTTTATAGAAAATTGGACTTGAGACAAAAGCTCTTTACAAAGAAAGTTTTTTAATGCAGACTTTTTTGATTGCAATTTTTTATTTAGATACTAAGCTTTTGAGTCTAGAAGCATACTATCTTCAGTTTAGAAAATAAATCTCCTAAGTTTATAGACTAAAGCACTGTTTCGTCTAGACGCCAAAGCTCTAGTGACTGATGCTTTCTCTTTAGTCTAGTGACTGATGCTTTCTCAAGGATGCTAGTCTAGGGACTAAAGATCTCTTTAGTCTAGAGACTAAAGCTCTCTTTAGTCTGGATACTAAAGCTTTCTTTGGAGTAGACAATAAGCGCCTCTTGGTCTAGTGACTAAAACACTCTTTACCCTAGAGAAAAAAGCTTTTTGTCTTAAGAATAAAGCTTTTAGTGTAAAGAATTTTAGCCTGGAGGCTATAGACTAGTCTATAGATTAGACTAGACTACAGACTAGACTATATATATACTATAGATTAGACTATAGACTAGACTATAGACTAGACTATAGACTAGACTATAGACTAGACTATAGACTAGACTATAGACTAGACTATAGACTAGACTAGACTATAGACTAGACTATAGACTAGACTATAGACTAGACTATAGACTAGACTATAGACTAGACTATAGACTAGACTATAGACTAGAATATAGACTAGACTATAGACTAGACTATAGACTAGACTATAGACTAGACTATAGACTAGAATATAGACTAGACTATAGACTAGACTATAGACTAGACTATAGACTAGACTATAGACTAGACTATAGACTAGACTATAGACTAGACTATAGACTAGACTATAGACTAGACTATAGACTAGACTATAGACTAGACTATAGACTAGACTATAGACTAGACTATAGACTAGACTATAGACTAGACTATAGACTAGACTATAGACTAGACTATAGACTAGACTATAGACTAGACTATAGACTAGATTATAGACTAGACTATAGACTAGACTATAGACTAGACTATAGACTAGACTATAGACTAGACTATAGACTAGACTATAGACTAGACTATAGACTATAGACTAGACTATAGACTAGACTACAGACTAGACTACAGACTAGACTATAGACTAGACTACAGACTAGACTATAACCAAGTTCAAAAGTTTTCTCTAGTAACTAGTTTTTCCCTTAAATTTGTCTTTACAGGCGACAAAACCAAACAAGTCCATATGGAAGGTTATGCTGTTTCAGCACAATGCATGGCTTTAGTACGCGATAATTGTTTAATACCAACTAAAGATGCACCCGAATTGGGTTATGTCCGTGAATCGACTGATAAACAATATGTTCCAGATGTTTATTATAAGGTAAGAGGTAATCTCTTTTTTTACTAAGTAAATTTTATTTAAGGTTTCTGTTCGCCTTTTATAAAAAATTTAATAATATGATGTATAGAAACTATTTTTGGGCTAGGATGCTGTTTAGGAGCGTTGTAGTTTTTTTTTATTAGAAACCCAACCTCCACACTATTTTAAAAATAACCAAACATTTTAATTAAATATTCATACAAACCTTTTTTATGTTACTGTCTCTTCATTGACCAGTAAAATGCAAAAAAGAGGAAAGTAAAGGCATTATTATTGTTTACATCCATTGACCATTTATTAATTTCTTGTTTTTTATTGTTTAATGTTGGTAGATAGTTTTACAATTTGTTATTGTTGTTGTTATTTCAGTTTAAATTTAGTTTCATTGATAGACAACAATAATTAAACATTTATGCATATACATGTAAATTGTTGCTATTGTTTGTATTTCATGCAAATTTCTGTTTAATATTTTTATTTTTATATATTTTTTATAAAAAAACAACGTGTTTTTAGCGTTAACGCCACATTAAAGAATTTTAAAGAATTTTTTTTTGTTTTTAGATTTTTTAAGTTTTTTCTTTACGTTAATAAAAAAAGTTTTTTTAATAGGTGTTAGACTGAAAAAATAAACGTTTAAAGTCTTTTAGACAATATTTTTTTGGTTAAGAGCAAAAGATTTGATAACTTTTTCTTGATATTTTTCAAAAATATAAGTTTAAAAATAGACAAATACAACGGTTTTTTATATATTTTTTAAACAATTTTTTTTTAATTAAAAATATTTGTTAAATTTTTTCTTTTTTATAATAGTTTTACGTTATTTTGATATATATGTTACTGTTTTTTAGTAATTTCAGCATTTGATTTGTATATTTATTTGTTTTTTTTTTCTTTTAATTAGTTAACATAAACATTTAGAAACATTTTTCTTACTATTATTTATTTAATATTTTTAATTGTTTCCTTTAAATTCTGTTTAGTTAAGTGTATGTTTATAATTTAGTACTTTTAGCACCTTTTTTTTGTATACTAAACTAATTTATATTTGTTTAAAGATGCTGCAGCCGCATCATTTTAGTCACAGTTTAATTTTTTTAATATTCGTAAATTTTTTTTCTAGACTTTCGATTTTTTTCTAGAATTTTTAAATGTAAAAGAATACTAGTTCTGAAAACAAATTATATTTGAAAATATTTATACAATATGTTTCGAAAATCTTTAGGTTTTCATTAATTATCTTTTTATCATTTCGGTTTTTCTCATGAAAAGTTTTAGAAACTAAAAATGTGTTACCAAGATAATTTCTTTATAAATTATTTAAGTTTACTATTTTCTTTAAATTCATATTTTATTACAACTAAATTCTTTTCCAATTATATTCATAATACTTTTTTGTTTGACACCAATTCTTAATAAATTAAAGTTAAATTTATTATCTTATTAAATTTCTAATATTCAAGGATTTAATTTCGTTTATATTTTATACATATCGTTTTATATATATCGTTTTTATACATATCGTTTTATATATATGACATTTATTTTGTATTCTTGTTTTTTATATTTTTTGACGAAAAACAATTTGGCAGTTTATTAAAATAATTCTGCAAATAATTTCTATAAAATTCATTTAGTTTCAAAAAGTATTAAGTCCTAAAAATTCTTTATTCCTAAGACCCTTCAATCCTGAGACTAAGAAGTCTGTACTCAAGAGAATAAGGACTCTTTATTCCAGAAAATTAAGAACTCTTTAGTCCAAAGTACATCTGTATTCCAGGGAGTTAAGATTCTAGAATCCAGCAACATTAAACTCTTTCATTCAATGAAAAAAAATTTTGTCAGAAACAAAATCTCTTCATTCCTTAATTCCTGTTACTTAAGTTGTGCTCTTTAGTTTAAAGGGCCTATGTATTCCAGGGAGTTAAGACTCTTTAGTTCTAAGAAAGATACTTTACTACTATTGATCTTAATTCCTGAGACTAAAGTTCTTTTGTTCCCAGTATAATGATTCTTTAGCCTAAAGATATACTAAAGAAGCTAGATAGCCACCAGAACCTGATGTTTTTAGACAAGATATCAAATTCTTTCATCCTTAGTCTACAGACTTAACCTGGGACCAAATTACGGCATACGATATCGATCGAAATCTCAATAGAATCTAAATGGAGATTTCTATCGATATCGTATGCCATAATTTGGGCCCTGTTCATGTCATAAGACTAAGATTCTCTTTAGTGCAGATACTAAAGAGTCTCTTTAAAGATCCTAAAGAATATTTAGTCCAGAGACTAAAGACTATTTAGTCCAGAGATTTAGTCCAGAGACTAAAGACTAATATTCTCTTTACTCCATAGATTAAGTACTGTCATAAGTCCTGAGCCTAAACACTAGAGACTAAAGACTATTTAGTATAGAGACTAAAGGCTATTTAGTCCAGAGGCTAAAGGCTGACTTTGGTCGAGAGAATAAAGATTCTCTTCAGTCCAGAGTCTAAAGACTCTCTTTAGTTCAGAGAGTAAAGATTCTTTTTACTCCAGAGACTAAAGATTCTTTTTACTCCATAAACTAAAGACTCTTTAGACTAACCACTCTCTTTAGACCAGAGACTAAGGATCACCTACAGTCCAGAGACGTAAGAATCTCTTTAGCCCAGAGACCTAAGAATCTATTTACCCTAAAGACTCTCTTAGTCTAGAGACTAAAGACTCTCTTTAGTCTAAAGACTAAACACTCTCTTCAGTCTAGAAACTAAAGATTCTAAAGAGTAAATATTAGGGTGATCGACTCGATTTTTCAACCGGTTTTAAAACCGTTTTTTTCTGCTTTACCAGTATCGGTTTTTTCTAAATGTTAATTTTTCGAATATCGAATAACCCGGTTTTTTCACTTTTTAAAAACCGGTTTCGAATACTTTTATTTGCTTTGTATTCAAAGATTATTTAAATGAAATTTTGAAGTAAATAATACAGCCCGTTTAAATTTTAAAAATAGTCGAGTCCAGGAACTAGGATACATTTTTCTAAAGCACCATTGGTTAAACTTTTTTGATTTTCCTAACTAATTAAAACATTTTATTTGTAAAATTGATAACTGTTTAATAAAATTTTATTAATCTTAAGATTATATTCCAATTACAATAATTAATTTACCGCTGCAATATTATGGAAGTGTTAGAATGCCTATGAAAATTTCCTAAAAGGGCTTTAGAATAAGCTAGGATTACATAGTACCTTATATTTAACAGAAGTGTCCACTTTTTTCCTAATTCTTTTTTATATTAAAGAAATAATGTAAATCAGACGACTAGATCTAAAGTTATAATATGTTAAACTGTTAATAATCATTTCGGGCCATGTTTTATTAATCAAATTTAAACATAAACATTAATTTCTTCAAATTAACATATATTTTTTATTTATTATGAAAAACCGGTTAACCGTTTTTTTCTGAATTTGAAAAATATCAACCGGTTTTTTTGAAATGTCAACTATTCGAACTATTCGAAAACCGGTTTTTGAAAAATGTCGAATAATCGATCACCCTAGTAAATATTCACTTTAGTCCAGAAGCTAAAGACCCTCTTCAGTCCAGAGACTAAAATATACATTGGCAGAGAGTAAAAAATAAGTTCTCTGACCGGTTTTGGTAGTTTTTATACATTCGTAAGCATTAAAGAGGGAGTACTCATGACAGCTCATTGTAGATATATGCACTAAAGATTCTCCGAAGGTTCTCTTTTGCCAGAGATTTAAGACCAAAACCTAAGGAATGCCTTTGGTCTAAAGACCTTAGACTCCTTTCGACAGACAATATATTTACTCCAAAGACAATATATTTACTGCAGACAATATATTTACTCCAAAAAGAGTCCTTAGTCCGAAGACTTAGACTCTCTTTAGCGAATAGTTATAATTTTCACCTTAACATCCAATCTAACTTAAACCTTTTTGAAAATAAACGTTTATTTATTGTAGATTTGCCACGAATTAATTTAAAATTTTAATACTGATCGATTTTTTGTGTGTTTTCTAGATATGAACACAAGAATAATTTCTATGAATTCGTAGGCAGTTTTTTATACATAATTTCTAAATATGTATGTTTTTATTGACTCATTTTCATCCAAATATTACAATATTTCTTAAAATTTTAACAAATTCACTTGCAATTGAGCCCAATGTTAGTTATAGTTTTCTTTGCAGCTACTTTAAACCCAAGTTTATAAAACATCTTTCAGTATTCAGACATATTTCTAACATTACTTTTCATATTCTAGAAATTTCCAAATATTTTTGATATTTTAGACGATTTTTTTTAAACTTATTTTAATAGATTTTCATAATTATTTTTTTAATTTGGTAAAACATTTAAGCAAACATATATAAATATTTTAAGCAACATTTAAGATTATTTCACATAAATATTTTTTTAATTTTTTAATCTTCAACAATATTTTTTTATATATATAATTTATCCAATATTTAATTAATAATAATAATAAAAAAATAATTGAACTTTAGGCCAATTACTTTATTTCTAAAAAAAAATGCAAATAAGAAGCATTTTTTTTTCTTAACACAAACAACTTTTGCTTCAGTCCAATAGATTTTTAAAAATATATGTTTGGCAAATTTTTTCAAATATTTAATGATGATATTTAGAAGACAAAGTGATTAACTCCATTTATAATTTTTTTATTAAATTTTAACCAGGGTTTATATCCAAATACAGAATCATTTACTTTTATGTCTCACTTTTTTATTTTATTTGTTATGGAGTTAACGCATTTGGTTATTAGATCATTTTATTAAATAACTTAGTTTTATATATTATTTATACGTCTTATGGAACGGATTTTTCTTTATTATTTTTAACCAAGTTTTCTTTCCATTTTTTTATTTATTGTAAATTTATTTTTCGTTAATTTTGTTTTTCTTCTTCTAAAATTGTATTTTCAACAGGTATCTTGGTAGCGCTAGTGTGTTAAAAATTAGTTTATTTTGTTATTTTTTTTATTTTTTTTATAACATTAATTCAAATTCCCTAAACACAATTTCATTGGTTTTTTTATTTAAAAAAAAACATATTTATCTATATTTGCACCAAAGTGTTTAACAACATTTTGTTAAACTTTTTATGGTGGTTTTTGTTATTTTTATTTATTTTTTTCTATAATTTAAAATGTTTTATTTGATATTTTGTTTTTAAAGACAGTTAACATTTTTATAATTTGTAGTTTTAAAGTTTTTATTATCTTAAATTTCGTTAAACGTTTATATTTTTCTTATAGTTTTTGTTTGTTGTTAATTTTCGTTTTAAATTAGTTTTAGTGTAAAATTTTCCAAATATTCTAATAGTGCGCAATTGTTTTCTAATCTTTTTATTTGTTTAAATTCAATAAGTTTTGGTTTAAATTTTGATAATTGTGTGTTTTACATTTGGAATTTCGAACGAAGACTAGCCCTGAAACTAAAGCTCTTAAGAAAGTAGTCTAAAACTTTTTAGTCTGGAGATAAAAACTCTTTAGTCTAACCACTAAGGTTGTTTAGTCTAGAAACTAAAACTCTAAAGTCTAGAGACTAAAACTCTTGAGTCCAGACGTAAAAGCTCTTTAGTTCAAATACAAAAGCTCTGTTTTACATTTGGAATTTTAGTCTGGAGATTAAAGATATTTATTCTAACCACTAAAGTTCTTTAGTGCGAATACTAAAACTCTTTAGTCTAGAAACTAAAACTCTTAAGCCCAGAGACAAAAACTCTTTAGATTAAAGACAAAAGCTCTGTATAAGACGAAGTTCTTAATCTAGAAATTAAAACTTTGACTAAAGCTTAGTAGTTCACAGATTACAGCTCTTTAGTCCAGAGTCTAAAGCTCATTAATCCAGAGTTTTAAGATCTTTAGTCCGGAGACTAAATCTCTCTAGTCCAGAGACTAAAGCTATTATGTCCAGACACTAAACCTCTTTAATTCAGAGACTAAAGCTCTTTAGTGCGAATATGAAAGCTCTTTAGCCTAGAAATTAAAGTTATTTAGTCTAGAGACTAAAGACTAAACCTTTTTAGACTAGAGAATAAAGTTCTTTAGCATATAGACTAAAGCTCTTTAGTATAGAGACTAATATTTTATATTTTAGAGACTAATGTTCTTTAGTCCAGAGTCTAGATTCTAGAGCTCATTATGCAGATTTTAAATTTCTCTAGTTCAGAGATTTAATCTCTCTTGTCCAGTCGAGTCTTACTAAAACTATTAAGTCCAGACGCTAAAGCTCTTTAATCCACAGACTTGAATTATTTAGTTCAAAGATGAAAGCTTTTTAGTCCGGATACTAAAGCTCTTTAGTCTAGAGACTAGAGGACTTTAGTCATAAGACTAAAGCTCTTTAGAGTAAAAACTAAGTTTTTAGGCTAAATATTAAAGAATTTCGTCTAAAGACGAAAGCTTTATTCTAGAGACTAACGCTCTTTTGTCTAGAGATTACAGTTCTTTAGTCTAGAGACTAAAGTTCTTTAGTCTAGAGACTAAAGTTCTTTAGTCTAGAGACTAAAGTTCTTTAGTCTTGAGATTAAAGTTCTTTAGTCCACAGATTAAAACTCTTTTGTCCAGAGACTAAATTTCTTTTTTAGTCCAGAGACTGAAACTCTTTTGTCCTCAAACTATACTACACTCTAAAGCTCTTTAGTACCTTAACTAAAGTTCTTTATTTCAAAGATTAAAACACTTTAGTCCTAAGATGTTCTTTTGTCTAGAGATTAAAGCTATTTTGTCCAGAGACTAAATTTTGTTTTTAGTCCAGCGACTGAAACTCCTTAGTCCACAAACTATACCACAGACTAAAGCTCTATAGTTCGTTGACTAAAGTTTTTGAGTTCAAAGACTAAAACCCTTTACTACTCCAGGGATTAAACTACTTTAGCTCTTTATATAAGAAACTGAAGCTCTTTACTCCAATCCAGAACTTTAGTCCGGAGACTTAAGCTCTTTAATCTAGAGATTCAAACTCTTTAATATAGGGACTAAAGAGCCTTATAGTCTAGGGACTAAATAGCCTTATAGTCTAGGGACTAAAGAGCCTTTAGTCTGGGACTAAATAGCTTTAAGTCTAGGAAATAAAGAGCTTTTAGTCTAGGGGCAAATGAGGGTCTACTTTAAAAAATAAAGAGCTTTTAGTCTAGTGACAAAAGCTTATTCATTCAAATATATATTTAAGATTTTTCGTTTTGTTGGCCAAATTGCTTACAACTTGTTTTTAAATTAAATTTACTTTTCTTGCTTCTTGGACCACAAGTTCTGAAAGTCTTATTTCCATAACTCTAGATTACTATCAAATAAATAAAATTCTAGTTGAAACTACACCAAATTCCAAATTCACTTTAAATCCCACACATTATATCACGTTTAACAAATTCGTATAGACCACATTGAGCTATAAATATACCCGCCACAGTAGCAGAACCATTAATATTATTAACATTATTTAGAGAACCATTGGATCCCGCAGCACCAGCAACACATCCCGTGCCATGTATTTTATCATTTTGTACTAAAGTTTGAGAGATTTTCTTTACCACCTCCAAACCCTCTATAACACAAGCAAAAATGGCGGTAAAACCCAACTCGGTTAGAATAATACGAAATTGTGAACCCACTAAACCTTGAGAATCGAATTTTTTCTTAGCCCTACGCATACCAACAGCACCAGGAAATGGTGTTATATTTGTATCGTCTGGTATAAATTGTACATCTTCATATATAGAACGACTACTATAGCCGGTATTTTGTTCGATATCTCCGGTAATAATGCTTTCATTAGGATGACATTCAAATACTTTACAACCACTATAACCGAAACCCTTTTCATGGGTGGCCAAAGCATGAAAATTATAAGACATTTTGGGAGCTATATCAGCAAAAACCTTAATTAAAACCCGACCCATAGGCAGGCCATTACGTTCGAAATCGAAAAAATAAATTTGATTATTTTCATTATTGATGGGATTGAAAAGAAGTTGAACAGTTTTACGCGGTTCTTCATAGGACTTGGTTAAGGGTTTCTTATACGGTTGAAAATTATTAGAGGTGGTGGTTATCAGATCAAAACCATTCGAGTTTTCATTAGAGTCAAATTGGTGGGCATTTTGTATGGTGGCAATTTCAGCATAAGTTTTTGGTTTATCCTTATCCTGGCTAAAAAAGGTGGTAAATTCATTGGTGGTGGTGGCGGTGTTGTTGTTGTTGCTACAGGCCATTGAGTCTTGTTGTTGAGAGGCCAATGCTGCTGCTGAATGTTGCTGCAACATTTTAAATTGTTTAATTAAATTTTGTTTCTGCTCTTGATGATACTGTTGATAACGCATAAATTGCTGCTCAATGAATTGCTGCTGCTGACGCATATAGGACATGTATAAACGATAAATGCAATAGTTGGTTAAAATCATTATAGAATTACTCTCACGGCTGTTAGCTTCCGTTTCATTAAACCAATTCTCGGATAATTTATTCAAGTCTCCTGGTGCAGAGTTAGAGGAGTCGATTTTTTGTAAAATCTCTTTTAACAAATCAAAATCTAAGATTCTTTGACTTTTACTTAATAATTGTTGCATTTTACATTGCTGCAACATTTGCTTGTGTTTCAATTTAAATTTACAATTTTCATCTTTGATCACTTTATAGAGTTTCAATATCTCATGGGGGGTCTGTTTGCCCAGCAAACCGAAACATAATTGTAAATTTTTCATGGTATCCTTCATTTCATCTATATCCCCAGTACTAGAGTTAATAACCAGTTCATGTTCTATTTGTAACTTTAAAGTGCAACAAGTTTCTAGGAGTTTTAAAAGAAAACCCTTCTGTAGATGTTTTAAATTTTCCATTTCCTCTACACTAACTTGTATTTGTATAAATTCCTGTTGGACACGATTCTGATAGAATTCTTTGGCCTCCAATTGATTTTCTATTTTATGATCTTTATGCTCTGTGCCAGCATTGCAGCCTCTACATAAAACCGTTAGGCAGGTTTGACACCACAAAGTATTTGGCATGCCGTGTATAAAACAATTTTCTCCTGGCAGCATTTTTTCACCCACATTAGGGGCGTTATTGCAATTATGTGTTCTTAAATGTAAATTTATATCTAAATCATGGGCTTTATTATTGTGGTTGCTGTTGTTGTTATTAAAATATCCAAAACTGCCTATAGAATTTTCCGAATTTAAGGAGGCCGATCTCGTTTTATTACCATTTTCCAATTCAAAATCTTTTTGAGCATAGTCATCTTCACAACCAAATGTTGTCATATTATTATTATCACTTTTATTGTTATTATAATTATAATTATTAGTATTTTGTAATATTTGTAATTTTTTCTTTTCATACTGTTGCAATATCTGTTCTCCACCCATTTTTTGCCAACCCATTAGTTCCAATGATTTTTGACATTGCAAACAGTCGAGAAATTGTGTATCTTTATCTCTGGCTGTGTGCGTTAGTTGTTCCAGACAATTGAAACAATACCAATGTTTACACGATAACATTTTTGGCGCGGTATTTTTAAAATTAAACGGTAAATGGCATCGATAACAGTTGATTAAATTATTTGTTTTATGTGACACAGCCATGTTTGTTGTGGTTTAAAAAGTTTGGTTTCTGTCTGGAAAGAAGGAAATATTTTATTTATTATTCATTCTTTGCTGCCTTCAGCTGTAAAACCAATTTAAAATTTTGCTTGGAAAAAAGCTTTCTCTTAGAAAAGCTCCAAGATTATGAGCTTTTTATAATATAAAAAACATTAAAAAATAAATCCAGATACACAAAAGTTTTAATGTTTTCTAATAACGTCCTCTTCTGAAAAGGTTGGTAAAGCTTTTTGAGATGACAATGGTTATGTTCTCTACAAACTAATATTATTATCAATACTTATTATAAAAAAGCTTTTTTATAAAAGAAACTTAAAAAGCTTCTTTAAAAAGCTTTCTCCCAAAATGCATTTTCGAAAAAAAGCTCCAAGCGAAGATCTGTTTCAAAATGTTTAATTAAAAAATATTTATCTTCATAAACTGCATAAAAGCTTTTTATTCTATTTCAGTTCTAGTTCTGTGCTAGTTTTTTTCTAGTTCCGTTCTGGTTCAATTCTAGTTCAGTTCTAGTTCAATTCTAGTTCAGTTCTAGTTCAGTTCTAGTTCAGTTCTAGTTCAGTTCTAGTTCAGTTCTAGTTCAGTTCTAGTTCAGTTCTAGTTCAGTTCTAGTTCAGTTCTAGTTCAGTTCTAGTTCAGTTCTAGTTCAGTTCTAGTTCAGTTCTAGTTCAGTTCTAGTCAGTTCTAGTTCAGTTCTAGTTCAGTTCTAGTTCAGTTCTAGTTCAGTTCTAGTTCAGTTCTAGTTCAGTTCTAGTTCAGTTCTAGTTCAGTTCTAGTTCAGTTCTAGTTCAGTTCTAGTTCAGTTCTAGTTCAGTTCTAGTTCAGTTCTAGTTCAGTTCTAGTTCAGTTCTAGTTCGAGTTCTAGTTGAGTTCTAGTTCAGTTCTAGTGAGTTCTAGTTGCGTTCTAGTTGAGTTCTAGTTGAGTTCTAGTTCAGTTCTAGTTCAGTTCTAGTTCAGTTCTAGTTCAGTTCTAGTTCTAGTTCAGTTCTAGTTCAGTTCTAGTTCAGTTCTAGTTCAGTTCTAGTTCAGTTCTAGTTCAGTTCTAGTTCAGTTCTAGTTCAGTTCTAGTTCAGTTCTAGTTAGTTCTAGTTCAGTTCTAGTTCAGTTCTAGTTCAGTTCTAGTTCAGTTCTAGTTCTAGTTCAGTTCTAGTTCAGTTCTAGTTCAGTTCTAGTTCAGTTCTAGTTCAGTTCTAGTTCAGTTCTAGTTCTAGTTCAGTTCTAGTTCAGTTCTAGTTCAGTTCTAGTTCAGTTCTAGTTCAGTTCTAGTTCAGTTCTAGTTCAGTTCTAGTTCAGTTCTAGTTCAGTTCTAGTTCAGTTCTAGTTCAGCTCTAGTTCAGTTCTAGTTCAGTTCAGTTCTAGTTCAGTTCTAGTTCAGTTCAGTTCTAGTTCAGTTCTAGTTCAGCTCTAGTTCAGTTCTAGTTCAGTTCTAGTTCAGTTCTAGTTAAGTTCTAGTTAAGTTCTAGTTAAGTTCTAGTTCAGTTCTAGTTCAGTTCGTGTTCAGTTCTAGTTCAGTTCTAGTTAAAAAATTTTTTGCAATGCTCTCATATTGAATTTACTCTATAAAGTTCAACTTTTCAACTCATCCTCCTTCCAAATTAATTATAAATGTAGTTTATTATAATTTCTTACAGGTTTTTTTTCAAATATGTTACTTTTTAAAAATAAACATTAATTTTGCACATCATGTCGTATGATTAATATTAATTGAGATTTTTTAACTATTTTTTTATTTTCACTTATAGTGCATAAACATTTAAAGATTTTTATAAAATTCATATTAAATTCAAGTGGACAATTAAAGTTTAAGAACATTTATAATTATTTTATTTAATTTGTTTACTTAAGATGTCTGTTATACACATTTAATTTCAGTGAAATTAATTAATTTTTTATATTCATTTTTTTTTTATTACTCGTATATTTAACCGCCAAATTCTGTATATGTATGAATAAGTATATAAATATTTCGTTAAATGGTTTTCTATGATTTTATTACGACTTACTGCAGCAACCTTTATCGTTGACGTTTGCAATTAATCTATTTTTATCTGCTGCCAAACACCTGTATGCAGTTAAAAGTACAAATGCTGCAGCAGCAGCCAACAGTTGCTTAACTCCTATTATATGAAAAAATTTTTTTGTTTTATATTTCTTTAACAAAAAAAATCAGAAACAAAATATCTCTTTTTGTTCATACAGTATGAAAATTTTCTCTTTTTTCCCTTCTTCTTCTTGATTTTAAGAGAGTTGCATTTGCTTTTGTATTTATGTACAAACAAAAAACCTACATTTCTCATTGCTAACCTTGATATTGAATCCTTATTTGTCCTTATAACTTGAAGCTTTTTTTACACGTATAGTTTATTTTTATTTTTGTTATGATTTTTTTTTGTATTTGTGTTTATTAACCTTCACCTTGGATATGGTAAAAAAGAGAAAAAAAAAAAAAACAACAAATAGTTAATATCTTTACTTCTAACTAGGATTACATTATAATTTCCTGTCATTTTTAACATACAGCTTTCTCTACGTATGTGTTTCTGATCAATTGTAGAAAAGTAAAAAGGTTTCCTTTGATTTGTAACCTTATTACTACAGCATATGTTATGGGAATTGGGAGGGAACCTTAAGGATTAAAATATGTTACAACAAAGACTATGATTGAGTTTAAAATGAGGCAGTATAAAGATCAGCGATTGAAGCCAAAATTAGATTTGACGTAACTTCTCAGTTCAGTTCAGTTCAGTTGTAGTTTAATTCTAATTCTAGTTCAGTTGTAGTTTAATTCTAGTTCAGTTCTAGTTCAGTTCTAGTTCAGTTCTAGTTCAGTTCTAGTTCAGTTCTAGTTCAGTTCTAGTTCAGTTCTAGTTCAGTTCTAGTTCAGTTCTAGTTCAGTTCTAGTTCAGTTCTAGTTCAGTTCTAGTTCAGTTCTAGTTCAGTTCTAGTTCAGTTCTAGTTCAGTTCTAGTTCAGTTCTAGTTCAGTTCTAGTTCAGTTCTAGTTCAGTTCTAGTTCAGTTCTAGTTCAGTTCTAGTTCAGTTCTAGTTCAGTTCTAGTTCAGTTCTAGTTCAGTTCTAGTTCAGTTCTAGTTCAGTTCTAGTTCAGTTCTAGTTCAGTTCTAGTTCAGTTCTAGTTCAGTTCTAGTTCAGTTCGTTCAGGTTAGTTCTAGTTCAGTTCTAGTTCAGTTCAGTTCTAGTTCTAGTTCATTCTAGTTCAGTTCTAGTTCAGTTCTAGTTCAGTTCTAGTTCAGTTCAAGTTCAGTTCTAGTTCAGTTCTAGTTCAGTTCTAGTTCAGTTCTAGTTCAGTTCTAGTTCAGTTCTAGTTCAGTTCTAGTTCAGTTCTAGTTCAGTTCTAGTTCAGTTCTAGTTCAGTTCTAGTTAGTTCTAGTTCAGTTCTAGTTCAGTTCTAGTTCAGTTCTAGTTCAGTTCTAGTTCAGTTCTAGTTCTAGTTCAGTTTAGTTCAGTTCTAGTCTAGTTCAGTTCTAGTTCAGTTCTAGTTCAGTTCTAGTTCAGTTCTAGTTCAGTTCTAGTTCAGTTCTAGTTCAGTTCTAGTTCAGTTCTAGTTCAGTTCTAGTTCAGTTCTAGTTCAGTTCTAGTTCAGTTCTAGTTAAGTTCTAGTTCAGTTCTAGTTCAGTTCTAGTTCAGTTCGAGGTTAGTTCTAGTTCAGTTCTAGTTCAGTTCTAGTTCAGTTCTAGTTCAGTTCTAGTTCAGTTCTAGTTCAGTTCTAGTTCAGTTCTAGTTCAGTTCTAGTTCAGTTCTAGTTCAGTTCTAGTTAAGTTCTAGTTCAGTTCTAGTTCAGTTCTAGTTCAGTTCGAGTTAGTTCTAGTTCAGTTCTAGTTCAGTTCTAGTTCAGTTCTAGTTCAGTTCTAGTTCAGTTCTAGTTCAGTTCTAGTTCAGTTCTAGTTCAGTTCTAGTTCAGTTCTAGTTCAGTTCTAGTTCAGTTCTAGTTCAGTTCTAGTTCAGTTCTAGTTCAGTTCTAGGTCAGTTCTAGTTCAGTTCTAGTTCTAGTTCAGTTCTAGTTAAGTTCTAGTTCAGTTCTAGTTCAGTTCGAGTTAGTTCTAGTTCAGTTCTAGTTCAGTTCTAGTTCAGTTCTAGTTCAGTTCTAGTTCAGTTCTAGTTCAGTTCTAGTTCAGTTCTAGTTCAGTTCTAGTTCAGTTCTAGTTCAGTTCTAGTTCAGTTCTAGTTCAGTTCTAGTTCAGTTCTAGTTCAGTTCTAGTTCAGTTCTAGTTCAGTTCTAGTTCAGTTCTAGTTCAGTTCTAGTTCAGTTCGAGTTTCAGTTCTAGTTCAGTTCTAGTTCAGTTCTAGTTTCAGTTCTAGTTCAGTTCTAGTTCAGTTCTGTTCAGTTCTAGTTCAGTTCTAGTTCAGTTCTAGTTCAGTTCTAGGTTCAGTTCTAGTTCAGTTCTAGTTCAGTTCTAGGTTCAGTTCTAGGTTCAGTTCTAGTTGTCAGTTTCTAGTTCAGGTTCTAGTTCAGTTCTAGTTCAGTTCTAGTTCAGTTCTAGTTCATTCTAGTTTCAGTTTCCTAGTTCAGTTCTAGTTCAGTTCTAGTTCAGTCTAGTTCAGTTCTAGTTCAGTTCTAGTTCAGTTCTAGTTCAGTTCTAGTTCAGTTCTAGTTCAGTTTCTAGTTCAGTTCTAGTTCAGTTTCTAGTTCAGTTCTAGTTCAGTTCTAGTTCAGTTCTAGTTCAGTTCTAGTTCAGTTTCTAGTTCAGTTCTAGTTCAGTTCTAGTTCAGTTCTAGTTCAGTTCTAGTTCAGTTCTAGTTCAGTTCTAGTTCAGTTCTAGGTCAGTTCTAGTTCTAGTTCAGTTCTAGTTCAGTTCTAGTTCAGTTCTAGTTCAGTTCTAGTTCAGTTCTAGTTCAGTTCTAGTTCAGTTCTAGTTCAGTTCTAGTTCAGTTCTAGTTCAGTTCTAGTTCAGTTCTAGTTCAGTTCTAGTTCAGTTCTAGTTCAGTTCTAGTTCAGTTCTAGTTCAGTTCTAGTTCAGTTCTAGTTCAGTTCTAGTTCAGTTCTAGTTCAGTTCTAGTTCAGTTCTAGTTCAGTTCTAGTTCAGTTCTAGTTCAGTTCTAGTTCAGTTCTAGTTCAGTTTAGTTCTAGTTCAGTTCTAGTTCAGTTCTAGTTCAGTTCTAGTTCAGTTCTAGTTCAGTTCTAGTTCAGTTCTAGTTCAGTTCTAGTTCAGTTCTAGTTCAGTTCTAGTTCAGTTCTAGTTCAGTTCTAGTTCAGTTCTAGTTCAGTTCTAGTTCAGTTCTAGTTCAGTTCTAGTTCAGTTCTAGTTCAGTTCTAGTTCAGTTCTAGTTCAGTTCTAGTTCAGTTCTAGTTCAGTTCTAGTCAGTTCTAGTTCAGTTCTAGTTCAGTTCTAGTTCAGTTCTAGTTCAGTTTCTAGTTCAGTTCTAGTTCAGTTCTAGTTCAGTTCTAGTTCAGTCTAGTTCAGTTCTAGTTCAGTTCTAGTTCAGTTCTAGTTCAGTTCTAGTTCAGTTCTAGTTCAGTTCTAGTTCAGTTCTAGTTCAGTCTAGTTCAGTTCTAGTTCAGTTCTAGTTCAGTTTCTAGTTCAGTTCTAGTTCAGTTCTAGTTCAGTTCTAGTTTCAGTTCTAGTTCAGTTCTAGTTCAGTTCTAGTTCAGTTCTAGTTCAGTTCTAGTCAGTTCTAGTTCAGTTCTAGTCAGTTCTAGTTCAGTTCTAGTTCAGTTCTAGTTCAGTTCTAGTCAGTTCTAGTTCTAGTTCTAGTTCAGTTCTAGTTCAGTTCTAGTCAGTCTAGTTCAGTTCTAGTTCAGTTCTAGTTCAGTTCTAGTTCAGTTCTAGTTCAGTTCTAGTTCAGTTCTAGTTCAGTTCTAGTTCAGTTCTAGTTCAGTTCTAGTCAGTTCTATTTCAGTTCTAGTTCAGTTCTAGTTCAGTTCTAGTTCAGTTCTAGTTCAGTTCTAGTTCTAGTAGTTCAGTCTAGTTCAGTTCTAGTTCAGTTCTAGTTCAGTTCTAGTTCAGTTCTAGTTCAGTTCTAGTTCAGTTCTAGTTCAGTTCTAGTCAGTTCTAGTTCAGTTCTAGTTCAGTTCTAGTTCAGTTCTAGTTCAGTTCTAGTTCAGTTCTAATTCAGTTTTAGTTCAGTTTTAGTTCAGTTCTAGTTCAATTCTAGTTCAGTTCTAGTTCAATTCTAGTTCAGTTCTAGTTCAGTTCCAGTTCAGTTCCAGTTCAGTTCCAGTTCAGTTCCAGTTCAGTTCCAGTTCAGTTCCAGTTCCAGTTCAGTTCCAGTTCAGTTCCAGTTCAGTTCCAGTTCAGTTCCAGTTCAGTTCCAGTTCAGTTCCAGTTCAGTTCCAGTTCAGTTCCAGTTCAGTTCCAGTTCAGTTCCAGTTCAGTTCCATTTCAGTTCTAGTTCAGTTCTAGTTCAGTTCTAGTTCAGTTCTAGTTCAGCTCTAGTTCAGTTTCAGTTCAATTCTAATTCAGTTCTATTTCGAGTTTAGTGCAGTTGTAGTTCAGTTCTGTTCTAATTCAATGTTAGTTCTGTTCTAGTTCGGCTAAAATTCATTTTCAAAAACTCTCTTCTTTTACAGCTTATTTTTTAAATTGTGATTTACTGACATTTAACTCAATAACTTTTCCTTGAGATTATACTACTAGGCAATAGTTTCCTTAATAATCAAAACTAATGGTAGCAAATTGTTGCTGCTAAATACTGAATGTTTGAAAAACCTTGACCTTCAATTAAATTCCTGTTACACATTACCAACACCTTAAAGACCACAGTATCCAGTTTAAGGTTTAATTTTTCATGCCTTTTAGCTGTTGCAATGCATTTTGAATTTTAAATATTGAAACATATTTTTTAATCTAATCATTTCTCGCTGTCACAGTCTGCCAGTAGCATCCAATAATGCAATTATTTACTTACCCTTTAATAGAGGATTTAACTCGGTTTTTATTTTCCTTAAATCACAGGTGATAAAATCATGAAATATTTTGATTTTATTTAAGACGGCTTTTAAAATTGTAAGCGAACGTTTAAGGGAATTTTGCTACTAAAGGTTTTAAAATCGAAAAAGACAACTTTGGAATAAAGTATTGTTTTAAAATCGTTGGGTTTATTGTTTATTTTATTTATAAAATAGTTTAAAATTTTTTTTTAAATAAAACAAGCAACAGTTAATAACGAAACATGTTGCTTAACTTTCTCAAAAAAAGCACAAACTAACACTCAGTTGTTGGCAACTTTGTTTAGGAACTTTTTTTATAGAGTTTAGATTTTTTTTCTTTTTTCTAGCAACACGATTTTTCGTAATATTTTTAATAGATTTTGCACTTTTCTAAGTAAAACAATCGTTATTTATTCATATGATTTTGATATAACTCGGTTCCTTATTTTTTCTAGTACATATAACTTTTGCTTTAGTTAAAAAGATTTATTTTATTTTTGGTTTTAGTTAAAACTCTAATGTAATGCTTTTGTGTATTTATTATCTATTAATTTTTTTTATTTAATAAAAGTTGTTTTCGATTTAGTTTTGTCTATAAGAACCGTATCGTTGAAAGACTAAATTGTAAATGTTTTCATTGAAAATTTCCTTTTCATGTTACAATTAAACGTAAAAATGCAAATAAAAAGCTTTTTATTACTGGTAGTTGCATTTAATCTCTAAAATTCAGTTTTACTCTCTCTCAACAGCATCCTTTTTTTCTCTTTAACCTTAACAAAAATTCATATATATATATATATATATATATATATATATATATATATATATTTAAGCACATGGCCATCAAATAAACCAAAAGCCAAAGGAAAAAAGAAAACTAAAGAAAAATGGAAGCAAGTCCAAGGTTTAAGTAGCATCAAACACCACAACCAAACAAGTGCAATGTCAATGATATTTCTTGTTTTTCTTTCTACATGATTGGAGTAACTGGCGGGTTTTCAAAAAGCTTTTTCTTGGAAAAATCACTATACGAAGAATTTCTGTTTAAAACTTAATTGTTGTTGATAAATTTTACAATTGCAAGGCTAATTTTTTTAAATAACTACACCTTTAAGTATACTTTCCCTCAAATTTCCTTTTCTTTGGAATTTTAAAAGCTTTTTTTAATATACATTTTCCTGCTATTAGCTGCAGCTGCATATGAAAGCTTTTATAAAAATTCTTAGAATTCTTATTATAGTCACCACACTAGATAAAAGATTTTCAAACTTAGTAACACATTTTGTAGTTTATCAAATTATTGTCTGATAGATTTTGTTTGTCAGATTGGATAAACTAATGTACTTCAGGGTCTTAGTAAAATACTGTGGAAATGTATTTAATCCTAGGACTAACCCTTAAATCCTAGAATGACCTAGAACTGAACTAGAACTGAACTAGAACTGAACTAGAAAACTGAACTAGAACTGAACTAGAACTAAACTAAACTGAACTAGAACTGAACTAGAACTGAACTAGACTGAACTAGAACTGAACTAGAACTGAACTAGAACTGAACTAGAACTGACTAGAACTGAAGTAGAACTGAACTAGAACTGAACTAGAACTGAACTAGAACTGAACTGAACTGAAACTGAAACTAGAACTGAACTAGAACTGAACTAGAACTGAACTAGAACTGAAGAACTGAACTAGAACTGAACTAGAACTAGAACTGAACTAGAACTGAACTAGAACTGAACTAGAACTGAACTAGAACTGAACTAGAACTGAACTAGAACTGAACTAGAACTGAACTAGAACTGAACTAGAACTGAACTAGAACTGAACTAGAACTGAACTAGAACTGAACTAGAACTGAAGTAGAACTGAACTAGACTGAACTAGAACTAAACTAGAACTGAACTAGAACTGAACTAGAACTGAACTAGAACTGAACTAGAACTGAACTAGAACTAGAACTAATAGAACTGAACTAGAACTGAACTAGAAACTGAACTAGAACTGAACTAGAACTGAAACTAGAACTGACTAGAACTGAACTAGAACTGAACTAGACTGAACTAGAAACTGAACTAGAACTGAAACTAGAACTGAACTAGAACTAGAACTGAACTAGAACTGAACTAGAACTGAACTAGAACTGAACTAGAACTGAACTAGAACTGAACTAGAACTGAACTAGAACCTGAACTAGAACTGAACTAGAACTGAACTAGAACTGAACTAGAACTGAACTAGAACTGAAGTAGAACTGAACTAGAACTGAACTAGAACTAAACTAGAACTGAACTAGAACTGAACTAGAACTGAAACTAGAACTGAACTAGAACTGAACTAGAACTGAAACTAGAACTGAAACTAGAACTGAACTAGAACTGAACTAGAACTGAAACTAGAACTGAACTAGAACTGAACTAGAACTGAACTAGAACTGCTGAACTAGAACTGAAACTAGAAACTGAACTAGAACTGAACTAGAACCTGAACTAGAACTGAACTAGAACTGAACTAGAACTGAACTAGAACTGAACTAGAACTGAACTAGAACTGAACTAGAACTGAACTAGAACTGAACTAGAACTGAACTAGAACTGAACTAGAACTGAACTAGAACTGAACTAGAACTGAACTAGAACTGAACTAGAACTGAACTAGAACTGAACTAGAACTGAACTAGAACTGAACTAGAACTGAACTAGAACTGAACTAGAACTGAACTAGAACTGAACTAGAACTGAACTAGAACTGAACTAGAACTGAAGTAGAACTGAAGTAGAACTGAACTAGAACTGAACTAGAACTAAACTAGAACTGAACTAGAACTGAACTAGAACTGAACTAGAACTGAACTAGAACTGAACTAGAACTGAACTAGAACTGAACTAGAACTGAACTAGAACTGAACTAGAACTGAACTAGAACTGAACCAGAACTGAACTAGAACTGAACTAGAACTGAACTAGAACTGAACTAGAACTGAACTAGAACTGAACTAGAACTGAACTAGAACTGAAGTAGAACTGAAGTAGAACTGAACTAGAACTGAACTAGAACTAAACTAGAACTGAACTAGAACTGAACTAGAACTGAACTAGAACTGAACTAGAACTGAACTAGAACTGAACTAGAACCGAACTAGAACTGAACTAGAACTGAACTAGATCTGAACTAGAACTGAACTAGAGCTGAACTAGAACTGAACTAGAACTGAAGTAGAACTGAACTAGAACTGAACTAGAACTGAACTAGAACTGAACTAGAACTGAACTAGAACTGAACTAGAACTGAACTAGAACTGAACTAGAACTGAACTAGAACTGAACTAGAACCGAACTAGAACTGAACTAGAACTGAACTAGATCTGAACTAGAACTGAACTAGAGCTGAACTAGAACTGAACTAGTATTGAACTAGAACTTAACTAAAACTGAACTGAGCTGATATAAAAGTTGGATTTGAATGACCCTTCCCTCATAAACCAAACGGAAACGACTTTTTCTTCTTGCTAACTTATACCGTTCATACATGCATACTAGGGTGATCGATTATTCGACATTTTCCAAAAACCGGTTTTCGAATAGTTCGAATAGTTGACATTTAAAAAAAACCGGTTGATATTTTTCAAATTCAGAAAAAACCGGTTAACCGGTTTTTCATTATAAATAAAAAAACATATTTTAATTTGAAAAACTTAATGTTTATGTTTAAATTTGATTAATAAAACATGGCCCGAAATGATTTTTAACAGTTTAAAAGATTATAACTTTAGATCTAGTCGTCTGATTTACATTATTTCTTTAATATAAAAAAATTAGGAAAAAAGTGGGACACTTCTGTTAAACATAAGGTAATCATAGCTTATTTTAAAAGCCCTGTTTAGGAAATTTGCATTGGCATTCCAACACTTCCATAAAATTCCAGCCGTAAATTAATTATTGTAATTGGAATATAATCTTAAGATTGATAAAATTTTATCAAATAGTTATCAATTTTACAAATAAATTTTTTTTAATTAATTAGGAAAATCAAAAAAGTTTAACTAAAGGAGCTTTAGAAAAATATACGCTAGCTCCTCGACTCGAATATTTTTAAAATGTAGGCGGGCTGTATTATTATTTACTTAAAAATTTCATTTAAATAATCTTTGAATACAAAGCAAATAAAAGTATTCGAAACCGGTTTTTAAAAAGTGAAAAAACCGGGTTATTCGATATTCGAAAAATCAACATTAAGAAAAAACCGACACTGGTAAAGCAGAAAAAACCGGTTTTAAAACCGGTTGAAAAATCGAGTCGATCACCCTAATGCATACACTGACTGTACTTATTTAATTTAGCCTTGTTTATAAAACAACAAAAATATCATCAACAACATCAAAACCCCACGTATGTATGTGAGTGCGAGTGATTTTGTTTGACAAATTGTGAGATAATTGTACAAAAAGCTTTTTCCTTTCCTTCTTCCCTTTTATACATCTCAAAAAAACTTATGAACTTGAAAGCTTTTGCATGCAGGAAGAAACAAAAACAAAATAAAAACAACCAACAATAAAATAGGTGACCCAGTTTTCTATATGGTTCTCCTATTAAGCATCTCGAAATACACAAACAAGCCGGTTAACCTTAAACGGTGTGTACCATGTACATGTCATTCTTCTAATACTACTACTAATGAGACTTGTTTTTAACCCTGAACTTTAGGGGAGGTGAACTTGAAATAGCAATGAATTTAGTTATTTATTCTGCACATAATTAGATTTGAAACACCTGTTTAGTGTTAAGAACTTACTTACTTTTACCAGGGGGATTTGGGACAGGAAAACCATTTATACTCACCTTGTCAAGAAAATTAAGTTAGAAACTGTTTGTTTAAAACATTTGAATTTTATTATTTTATTTTATTTATGTGTGTATTTATATCCTTTTTTTATTTATTTTTGTAATGTTGTTTGTTTTTTCTTTCTTTTTTAGGAAAAAGACCAATATGGCAATGAAGTACAACGGTTAGCACGTCCTCTTCCTGTTGAATACTTGTTGGTTGATGTACCAGCTTCTACACCGCTACAACCACAATACACATTCACCCAATATGACAAGAGAACACCATTCCCGGTGGAAAATCGTTATTTGGATGGTCATTTGCAAGACTTTAATGCCTTGAGCACGTATTTATCCCAGTGGGAGGATGAAGAGTTTCTCGAAGCCATTTCCGATTTTCATTTGTTGGTGTATCTATTCAAAATGGACATGTTGCCATTGCGTCAACATATGAAACCTTTGTTAGAGGCAGTGCGTAATAAGAATCCAAATATGGCTTATGCCTTTAAAAAGGAAGATGTTTGGAAACTATTAGAATCGTTAATACATGCCAGTTCATCGGGTAGTGGGTATGTTGTAATTTATTGTAATTTTAAAACAAATAATAATTTTCTTATTCCCCTAGCGGCACTACCAGTTATCCCTCTTCATCGTCGGGTGTTCGAGCAGCTGCTGGTGGCTCTAACTCTGGTTCGGCACATGAAAATGTTATTACCGAATCCGCCACTTGGACTTGTAATCATTGTACTTTTATTAATCGTGGTGAACTGAGTTCTTGCGAAATTTGTTCTTTACCCAGATAAACTTTTTGTAGAACAAAACCATCTATCTGGAAGAAAGAATAAAATAAAAAGGAAAAGCAAAGTGTTCTCTCAATCCCTTAAAAACCAATAAAAAAAACAAAAACCCTACATTTTACCAGTGCTTTATAAAATTTATTATTTCTATAACTTTAATATCGACCTACCTACTACAACTTCCTTAAGTTTTCTTTGTTTTTTCTCCTCCCCCCCCTTTCCTTTTGATTTATATCTATTTGTTTAAAATCTTAACACTTGTAAGACAAGACAAATTACAAGTTTAAAAACAAGAAAAAAAAAACATGGGTTTTACAGAACAGTCAATATTTATGTACAATTAAATACAAAAAAAAAAATAATAAATACTTAAGGATGGGATTTGTACTACGACATCAAAATATTAAATTGTCAATAATTCTTTTTGTATTTATTTATGGTTAAAATATGTGTATTAAGGAGTCTCTTTCTTTTTGTATTTTTTCTTGGAAAACATTAAGTTTAATAACTTATTCCAAAGAAAATTTAAAGAAATAGAATTTGCTAAATATGGATATTTATAGTAAGCAAAACGATTTACATACTTTGCAATTGTCTGGAACTGTCTGAGATTTTTTTTCTACTTTAAACAAGTTAAATATATTCCAGAAGCATAATAAAACAATAATATGGTTGTATCATGTTCCAGAAGTATATGAAATGAGTAGGTTTTTGAAAACACTATCTAAACAAATCAATTATAGATCATGTCATTAGAACTATTGCTACTTATCCTAAAAATTATAAAATGAAATAAATTGAAAAAAGCAATCGATTAAAATTAAAGATCGAAAACAACTGTAATCTGCAACATTTAAAACCTGTAAGTTTAAAAAATAAATTATGTTAAATTTAATACAATTTTTATCATGTAATTATTTCTATTAAGTTTTGATTAATTTAATTTAATTAAATATTATTCTTTAATATACTAACTCGAGTCTTTAATCGGCCTAGGAAAATTTTGCTCTAAGTCAGACAACATTTCTATAGAACAAGTTGCTCTTATACAGACATTTTTTCTATAGAAAAAGTTGCTCTTATACAGACAACTTTTCTGTAGAAAATCTTGCTTCAAATTGCTTCAATTCAAAACAACATTTTCTATAGAAAATGTTATCTGTTACAAACAACTTTTCTATAGAAAAAGTTGCTCTGTTACACATAAGTAATGTTACTCTGTTACAGACAACTTTTCTATAGAAAATGTTACTCTGTTACAGACAACTTTTCTATAGAAAATGTTACTGTGTTACAGACAACTTTTCTATAGAAAATGTTGCTCTGTTACAGACAACTTTTCTATAGAAAATGTTGCTCTGTTACAGACAACTTTTCTATAGAAAAAGTTGCTCTATTACATACAACTTTTCTATAGACAACTTTGCTCTATTACATACAACTTTTCTATAGAAAAAGTTGCTCTGTTACACATAAGTTTTCTATAGAAAATGTTGCCCTGTTATAGACAACTTTTCTATACAAAAAGATTCAGACAACTTTTCAATAGAAAAAGTTGCTCTGATTCAATAGAAAATTTGCTCTGATCCAGACATCTTTTCTATAGAAAAAGTTACTCTGATTTAGACAACTTTTCTGTAGAAAAGGATGCTCTGCTTCAGACAACTTTTCTATAGAAAAAGTTACTCTGATTTAGACAACTTTTCTATAGAAAAATATGCTCTGCTTCAGACAACTTTTCTATAGAAAAATATGCTCTGATTCAGACAACTTTTCTATAGAAAAAGTTGCTCTGATTCAGACAACTTTTCTATAGAAAAAGTTGCTCTGTTCCAGACAACTTTTCTATAGAAAAAGTTGCTCTGATTCAGACAACTTTTTTATAGAAAAAGTTACTCTGATTCAGACAACTTTTCTATAGAAAAAGTTACTCTGATTCAGACAACTTTTCTATAGAAAAAGTTACTCTGATTCAGACAACTTTTCTACAGAAAAAGTTACTCTGATTCAGACAACTTTTCTATAGAACAATATGCTCTGATTCAGACAACTTTTCTATAGAACAATATGCTCTGATTCAGACAACTTTTCTATAGAAAAAGTTGCTCTGATTTAGACAACTTTTCTATAGAAAAAGTTGCCCTGATTCAGATAACTTTTCTATAGAAAAATATGCTCTGATTCAGACAACTTTTCTATAGAAAAAGATGCTCTGATTTAGACAATTTTTCTATAGAAAATGTTGCTCTCAATCAGACAACTTTTCTACGGAAAATGTTTTTTTGATTAAGATAACTTTACTAGAAATAAGTTTTGTTGATTAGGACAACTTTTCTATAGAAAAAGTTGCGCTGATTCAGACAACTTTTAATTCATTATAGTTGACTTCTATGATTTTGAAATAACAAATGTTTAATGAGTTAATTAAATTACATTATTGTTATAAAAGAAAATCCACAAATTATTGTATTAAAACCACTGTAGTTATTAAAACTTTTCTTTTATTAAACTTTCTTTTAATTTTCCCAAGTTTGCCGTTTCTATTATTACATGAATTGTCATTATTTTGTTATTATTTTCAGTTATAAATAAGTATTTTTAATTATATTTTTTATAATTATAATTTGTAAAGATTTGTAAATTATTGTATAAATTTGTTCTCGAGTTCTTTGTATAAATTGGTGAGTCTGTAAGAAAAAGGAAAGGAAAATATGAATTTTCAACGAATTGTATATTCATTGAACATTCAGCTTTTAAAATTTTCCATCCATTATCATTTCCATTCATTTTATATATTTTAACTTTTTGTATTAATTTTGGTTTAATTTCTTTATATTATTATTTAGAAATCATGGCTTTAACTATAACTAGTGGTCATTTGGCAAAATCCTTATTTAAACCATTTTTATTGAAAATTAAACCTTTCCAGGTATGTTGTCTATAATTTTATTATCCTTTATAGAAGTTTAAGTTTTAATTTAATTTTTGTCCTAATATTTTACCATTACAGTCTCTGCAGCGCTATAGATCACATTTCAGTAAGTTTATTTGATAACTACGTTTGTGCTACAAATTATGTTTATTGTAACTGTTTATGGGATTTTTGTTTATAGCACCTATAGCTGGTTGGTTAGAGAAACCAAAAAGTTTATTATTTCATCCCAAGAACATTTTAAAACATGCTGAGGTAAGTGATAAAGAAAGTTTTTCTTATGAAATAAATTCAATAAAATTTAACTGTAATGACAAACTCATACACATGACATTTTCGGTTAAGAGTGTCATATAAAGACAGAACAAGACATCTGTTCTTAGAAACTGTAGCTTTCTCAAAAATAATCTTGCTACGACAACTTTTCTATAGATAATGTTGCTCTAATTTAGCCAAATTTTCTTTAGAAAATTTTGCTCCGATTAAGACAACTTTTCTAGAGAAAAAGTTTCCCTGGTTCATTTAACTTTTCTATAAAAAAATTGCTTTGAATCAGACATTTTGTCTATAGAACCATTTGCTTTTATTCAGACGACTTTTCTTCAGAAGAAAGTTGCTTTGATTCAGACAACTTTTCTTTAAAAAAAAGTTGCTCTGATTCAGACAACTTTTCTATAGAAAAAGTTGCTCTGATTCAGACAACTTTTCTATAGAAAAAATTGCTCTGATTCGGACAACTTTTCTATAGAAAAATTTGCTCTGATTCGGACAACTTTTCTATAGAAAAATTTGCTCTGATTCGGACAACTTTTCTATAGAAAAAGTTGCTCTGATTCGGACAACTTTTCTATAGAAAAAGTTGCTCTGATTCGGACAACTTTTCTATAGAAAAAGTTGCTCTGATTCGGACAACTTTTCTATAGAAAAAGTTGCTCTGATTCGGACAACTTTTCTATAGAAAAAGTTGCTCTGATTCGGACAACTTTTCTATAGAAAAAGTTGCTCTGATTCAGACAACTTTTCTATAGAAAAAGTTGCTCTGATTCAGACAACTTTTCTATAGAAAAAGTTGCTCTGATTCAGACAACTTTTCTATTGAAAAAGTTGCGCAGATTTAGACAACTTTTATATAGAAAAAGTTGCGCAGATTTAGACAACTTTTATATAGAAAAAGTTGCGCAGATTTACACAACTTTTATATAGAAAAAGTTGCGCAGATTTACACAACTTTTCTATAAAAAAAGTTGCTCGGATTTAGACAACTTTTCTGTAGAAAAAGTTGTTCTGATTTTGACCACTTTTTAATAGAAAATGATGCTCTGATTTGGAGAACTTTTCTATAGAAAAAGTGGCTCCGAGTTAGACAACTTTTCTATAAAAAAAGTTGGTCGGATTTAGACAACTTTTCTATAGAAAAAGTTGTTCTGATTTTTACCACTTTTTAATAGAAAATTATGCTCTGATTTGGACAACTTTTCTATAGAAAAAGTGGCTCTGAGTTAGACAACTTTTCTATAGAAAAATATACTCTGATTCGGACAAGTTTTCTATAGAGAAAGTTGCTTTGGCTAGAGAAGGTTGCTTTGATTCAGACAACTTTTCTATAGAAAATATTGCTCTCATTTAGACAACTTTTCCATAGAGAAAGTTGCTGTGATTCGATCACTTTTCTATAGAATATGTTGTGTGTTTCAAATAACTATGTGGTTCTTATTAAGACAACTTTTAAGTCTTGTTTATAAAACTTTTCTGTAGAAAATATTGTTCTTGTTAAGACAATTTTTCTATAAAATATATATTGCTTTTGTCAATTAAGAATATATCAATTAATATTGATAATTATAACAAATACTTACAACGTTATTTATTTCTCAGCAATTGTTATACATTATAAAAAAAATTAGAGATTGTGTCTACAGTTTTCTACACATTATTCTACAATAAAAAATAATAAAATATACACTGAAAAAAAAATGTAAATAAAAAGTGCAATTGTTTTTAATTTATACAAATTAAATTAAATTTAAAAAAAAAAATAAAAATTACACTACTTTTATCGTTCTAAACTAATTTCGACTACTAGTGTTTGGCGTTCTATTTTTACTAGACAAAATCAAACTACAAAAAAAATAAATTACATTATTTTATTAATAATTTTCAATATATTTTCTTGAAATACATATTTAATAAGTATACTGGGGTTTGTTATTGTTGAATACTATATAATTGTTAATTTATATATAAATATTTTTGTTTTGTTTTTAGCAAATACTACATTTAATTATTACGTTTTTTTTTTCTTATATACGTTTTTACTAGTTTGATTAACTAAGTTTTTAACTAAATAAAAATATGTTTAAAAACTGCCAAAAACTAAAAATGAAAAAAAAAAATTAAAATTTGCTTTTAAATTTTTTTTTTTTTTTTTTTGCATAAAAAGCGGGATTTTTTTTAATAAAAATTGTTTTAAATTGATATTTAGTAAT